AAATGAAACAAAATAAAGGCTTTTATTTTATTTTATTTTATTTGAAAGAGTTACAGAGAGAGGCAGAGACAGAGAGAGAGGTCTTCCATCCGCTGGTTCATTCCCCAGATGGCTGCAACAGCTGGAGCTGTGCCAATCTGAAGCCAGGAGCCAGGAGCTTCTTCTGGGTCTCTCACGTGGGTGCAGGGGCCCAAGGGCTTGGGCCATCTTCTACTGCTATCCCAGGCCATAGTAGAGAGCTGGATCGGAAGAGGAGCAGCTGGGTCTCGAACTGGCACCCATATGGGATGCAGGCGCTTCAGGCCAGGGCTTTAACTCTGCGCCACAGCACCGGTAAAGGCCATATTTCTTCAAGAAAATGCAAGGAAAAATAAAGGAGGGAACCTTGGCTTGGGGAAGGACTCTGGATTAAGAGAATTCAATGACACATTGACTATACGTGTAGGATCTGTCTGGATCTTGATGAAAACAAACTAACTGAAAAAAAAAAAAAAACCAAGTAAAAAGAACAGCAACTTTATGAGACAATCAAGGAAATGCACCTGACTTATTGCATGATATCCAGAAGTATTGTCAGAGTGGGGTTAAGCTGCTGCCTAGAACACCATGATCCCATATCTGAGCTCAGGTTAGTCCCAGCTGTTTCATTTCCAATCCAGCTCCCTGGTAACGCACCTGGGGAAACAGCAGAGCCTGCCCAACTCCTGGGCCCTGCCACCCATATGGGAGACCTGGACGGAGTTCCTGATTCCTGGACTCACCCAGCTCAGCTGTGGTTACTGAGGTCGTTTGGGGAATGAAGCAGCAGCCAGATCTCTGTCTCTGCTTTTCTGCCTTTCAAATAAGTAAAATCAATCTTAAAACAGTTTTGTTGATTTTATAGTTTTGATTGCAGCATAACAGCTATCTGTATACAAACACATATACACAAAAAAGAGATCTTATCTTTCACATAAAAGAGTTCTTATCTTTTAGGAATCATGTGGACTAAATGGCAGGATTTCTGGGATTTGTGGTGGAGAGCATGGGATGAAGATTATAGATTTAAATAAAGCATCACGAATTAATGGCTATTGTAACAGAGATGGATACGTGTGGGTTCTTTGCTTTCTACTTTGGTGAGAATTTGAAATTGACCATATTTGTTTTTGAATTAATAAGAAATATTTCTTTTCCCAACGCACCATATTTACTCTAGCATCATATTGCAAATTTAAATGATGACGCATGCTAATATTTGGAACAATAGCAATAATAAAGCAGCTTACACCACAGTGAAATTTGTGGTCTCATTTCTTCCTTCTTGGTAGGTAGGCACTATTCGATTCTCCAATTCACAGATGAGGAACCGAAGTTGAGAAAAGCCCAGGCCACGGCAGGGAGTGAGCGGTGGCCAAGGACTAGAGCTTCAGTCTCCGAACACCAAATTCCAGGTCCTTCCCCTGGCGCGAGGAAGCTTTTAAAGGAAGCAAAGGAGTGAGATAAAAAGAACGCTGACCAAACACCAACTTCTGGAGAGTGCGGAGAAGCCCTGCACGGCCGGCCGGGGAAATTCTTACTCTCCTTGGCCACCAGATGGCGGAGGCTACCCGCCGCCCGGAGCAGCGCGGCGCGCTCAGCCCTCCAAGGAAGGGCTGCAGCGCGACCCGGGGAACCGAGGGCGAGGCGCGCTCTGCTCTCCGCCAACCGCGTAGCAAACCTGGGTCGCGCTTAAAGTTACAAAGATCACTGTGTGAGCTCTGTTTCCTCCATGGGGCTTACAGAAGAATTTGGGGACTTTTAAAGGAGGCAAAGGGAAATTAAATCGTGTCGGGGAGGCGCTGCAGAAAACAAGCTGTGGCCCGCGCCGTGGTGGCGGTTGGAGATCTGACACACGCAGCGGCGCCTTTGGAGACCAGCGCCGGGGGCCTGCTCGGCATCTGGCTCAGCTAAACCCTTCCCTGGGTTAACTCAATACGCGTCCTTGGCGGCGCGCTCAGGGTTCGCAGGCCGGGAGAAGGAGGGGTGTGTATGCGAGTGAGTTTTCTCTTGAGCTGTGTAGTCGTAGGGAGAAATTAGGTGGCCGTGAAGGTCGGAGATCATCGTCCTACAACACACACACACACACACACCAGCAATGGTGTCTAACTTCAGGCTGCCCACCAACCGCTTAGCGTGTACGCCCCGGAGCAAATCCAACCCGTCTTGGCTTGGGACGCTCAGGAAGCCCCGGGAACCCCGAGCGCGCGCGCGCTGTCCCTGCCTCTGGGGGCGGCGACAGGGTATCTTATCTTAAACCCCCCCCCCCCCGCCCCCGAGAGAGACTGGCGCAGACGGATGGGTTCCTCGGATTGGAGTACCCGTCTCTCGTTCCCCGGCTGGATCTGGGGACCTTGAATATTTGCAAGTGTAAACTTAAGGGATGCGGGAGTAGGCAGATGGGTAATTGATGGATGAGGAATTCAGTCGGGGTTAGCAACCGGATTTTTGCCGATTGCCTTTTAACACAGGCCTTCGATGATTTCGAAATCTCGGCGGTGTGGTAGTTAAACTTTCGGAGTCGTTCGGAGACAGAGCGCGCCGGGGAAGGAGAGGGACGCACAGCGGCCACGCGAGTGGAGAAGGGATGCTTTTCATTTTTATCCCTACCGGTGGCTGAGTGGTGACACGCGGGATCGCTTTTCTTCCAGAGCGTTTCCTGGACACCCGCAGAGATGTTTAAAAAAATGCCTCGGAGCCTTCAAGGCGCTGCACCGGAGAAGGAAGACTGTGCACCTGCCTTCACCCGGGCGTAAAGCGACTCAGAGACAGACGGGGAAGCTGGGACCAAGGGGACTAGGAGAAGCGTGGCTGCGCAGTTCAAACGGGCTCCAAACCCCCCGCCAGGCTGAATAGGGCCAGCTGGGTAGTCTGCAGCTTCCCCGGCTCCCCAGGCTCACTCCTACCCTTTGCGCCTTTCCCAGTACTCCCTGCAGACGGTGGCGACTGCGCTCCCCACCCCCAGACAGCCACCCCAGCAGTTCTACACCTAGCAGGAGGCATCCTGGAACAACAGGGAGCGGACTCGTGCCGCCGCGGGGTGGGAGTCGGAGCAAGGCCCGGCTGCGAAGTCTCTCCCAAACAGAAAACGGTTACAGGGAGAGACTGGTGGGCTGCAACCACTCAAGTGTTAGGTGGTTTCATTAGGACACACGTGGAGACGCCAAGGGACTATTTCCAACGTCCAGGCGGATCCTCCGTGCACGGCCTTTTCTCGTTTCTTTGCTATGCATTTGCTTTCTTCTTTATTTTTGTTCGAGGCAAGGGCGGAGAAGCGACCCGTGGCGAGCCGGGGTCTTGGCCCGCGCGGGGAGCGCCGACTGCCCGAGCGCAAGCGCGGGGACCCTGGCGGGCACCGCAGACGCGCGGGGCGCCGAGCCCTTGATCTTTATTTAAATGGAGGCTTGTTTATCGATGTCATCCTAGGAGGATTAATTAGATACATCTCTTCACAATTTGGTGTCTGACACTCCATCTTAGGAATGCCTTATCACAGGGTGTTAATTGGGGCCGCTCAGCCGCTTACGTTTCCATTAAACACTGTGAGGGACTTTTCACAAGTACTAGGTTCTTTTGACTGTACGGTGCAAAAACATGCAGGGCTCGAAGCAGGCGAGGGCAGACTCTGCTTTCCCCCGAGAGTGGCTCCATTTCCCGGCTTTCCAGAGGGCGGAAAGGGGAGCGCACAGTTCTGAAATTCCACCGCACCTTCCACTTCGCGCCTGCTGGAAGCGCACGGAAGGGGGCGGGTCGGCGCTGGCGACCAGGTGAGGCAGACTTTTGAGTCTCCCGGCCCGAGACTAAACCTATCAGCCACAAGAAATACATGTGGACAAGCAAATCTGCACAACCGCTCTTCCCGGCTCCCTGGCAGCGTTGCGGTCGGCTTTGAGCACGCACAGTCGGAGACGCGGCGCCCACGTCCCAGCCTCCCAAGGTCACCGGCAGCGCTGGAAGAACTTGGGCCCCAGAAAGATCCGGGGGGTGGGAGCCCGGATTGCCCAGGGACGAGCTCCCGGCGGCCTTAATTGGGCGCAGAAGGGGAGGAGGTCCCGGCGGATGGCTCGCCTCCCAGCAGCTAATCCTCTTAGCAGCTGCATTTCCGTGCGGTGCAGTTAGCAAAATGACTCTCCCAGCCAGACCTTTACCCTGGCGGGGTGAGAATGGGACTGGGAAGGTTTGCAAGCTGGGCCTGAAGCCGTCTGCTGATAAGCCTGGCGGGACGTCTGGCGGGGGACAAAGGGCCCTCCGCCCCACTGCTGGGTTTAACTCTTCGAGTCGGCCCAGAGTTCGGGACCAGGCGTGCGGGGGCCCCTTCGTCCTCCCAGGAGCGGAGCTGAGCGCGAGCAGAACCGCTCTCCGGGCACCGTCCGCAGAGAAGCCATGCGCGGGACGCTCAGGAGCCCCCTGTCCACAGCGCGCGGGCCCCAGAGGATGCCTGCCTGCAGGGTTGCCGGGGGCGGTGTGCCTAGGGTTTCGGTTCTGAAAGCCGCAGGGGAGAACAGAAGCCGAGCTACCGGCAGCCAGCCCGCCGCGCTTCGGGGACCCGGAACTTGTGGGCGCTCCAAGGGCAGCGGGGGTTCCCGGGGAGCCTATGTAGGCCCAGGGCTGCGGAGCCCCAGAGAAGCCCGGAGAACTAAGCGACCAACGGCCTTGGCCGAGGCCGGAGGGTAGGGGGGAAATGGGAGGTTTGGGTGAAATCCGACACGGGCAGTCTTCCACTTCGGCGGCCACCGTCTCTCCCCACCCCCAGCCAACACCTATTGTCCAGACTTCCCGGTGGGGTGAGGAAATAGCCCCATTCACGGTCAACGAAAAAAAGATAAACAAAAGCACCCCCACCCCCACCCCCTCAGGTCTGGAGATCGAGTTAGATTCCGGAGCCTTCCCCGGTAGGGGCCTGGCAGGGTCGGGCCAAGGGGCTTGGAAGGCAGTGTTCCACCTGGAAAAGGTTGGAGGAGGAAGCAACAGGAGAACCCGGATCCCTTACTGAACCACATTTATTAAAAATGACTAAGGCTGTACATAAAAATCCGAGGTCTCTAAAAAGCCTATAGGAGCTGTGGCAGCGGGGTTTCATTTCTTCACGTTACCGAGTTGGTGGGTGGGGATGGCGGAGGCAGAGGATGAGGAGGGAGTTTTCCTTAAACACGTTTCAGGTTAGTACAGAGTAGCTGAGTTACAGTCTTAACTATCTAAGAAGCAAACAGAATATTCCCAGATTTCACTGGGGGTGATGACCCACCGACCCCCTTGCCCCTGCAGCTGCAGTTAGGTGATTCGCAAATTCTTTACACAGCCAAAGCACCAATTTTACATAGTCTCAGACACCTATGTAGACTAGTTGTACAATATATTCCACATTATTCTACAGTCTATCTAACCACACACAACTGTACACTTTAAAAAAAAAATTTCCTTTTTGGCCACTCCCTCCCTTCCCTTCTCCTACTTCCTTCTGGCTGCCCCCAGCACAGGCCAAGGCAGAGGCCTGGAGTCTCCAGGGAGGCAATCTCCCACCAGCACAAACATGGCTTGTTCCAGAAGCCTGCAAGGAATCCAAGGCAAGGGAAGACCAGCACTTTTCACAAGTTTTTCTGAACTCCCAGGCTCAGCATCTTTTGCCCCTGGCAGAAGGTAAGAGCAAAACTTCCATCACCTCAGCTCTCCCAGAAGCAAAACACCATCACCCTCTGGGCTTGTATTTGCCTAAAAGGCTTACCAACAGAAATGGGAATCCGAGGTCTTAACTCGTTTAATAGTGCTGGGCACCCCGTCTTCACAGCCTGCTTCTCTGAATGGTTAGTGTCTCCAATAAATAAATCCAGAGCCTCGAATAACCTTCAATGTTTAAAAACAGTTTCAAGTCCTCCATTAGCTTTATTTTAAAAAAGAAAAATGCTAGGTTTGCTTCAGTTACCTGCAGCAATCAAAAAGCTTTGGCACCTTCTTTGAGACAATTGCACAAAACAGGATGCATCAAGGTAGAAGGCAAGCGTCTTTTTGGCAACCTAGGCAAAGAAGACAGCAAAAGACACCACCAAGTCCGTCTGCAGAAAAGTCCACTGTCCCGAGGTGACGACCACTCTTTAGGGCGTCGTGTAAAACGCATAATAACCCCCCATGCCTTTCGAGGTGTCTTTGCTGTACTCTTCGGCGTTAATGTCCTCACACTTTATGGAGGGAGAATTCTCGTTACTGGAGGTGCTGGGAGACAGCCGCCTTCGCTTACAAGCACTGGTGTACACCCCCGAATCACTGGAATCTAGAGACTTGATGGAAGGGGGTGTCTCTATCCAGGAAGATCCCATTTCTTCCTTGACTTTGTCCTTGGCCAGCGGATCTTCGGGGAACACAGGGGGGCTCGTTCTGGAGGTCCATGGTAGTCCGGCCGCCATCTTCCTCTGGTAAGAACCACGCCCTCCCCACCCTGCCATTGCAGGGAAGGTTGGGTCAGGGTAATACCCCAGGGCATGGGACGTCTGGAGGGGCAAGGACTTAATACCATATGGGAGCAAGGTGCTGGAGGAGTACTCAGGTTCATAGGAACTGATGTCTAGTTTGTTGGTCCCAGGCTGCTGGACAGGCGTGACAAGCCACCGCTGGGGAGGGTTGGCCACCTCTTCGCTCTGTTGGGGTGAAAGGAGGCCGTTGGTCTGTGGCACGGTTCTCTCGCCATTATAATATCGGGCTTGAGGTAAAGTGTTGACAAAGGGCTCCGGGAAGAAGGACTGAACGCCGTACCGACCTCCGGGGACAATCTGATGGGATCTAGGAGAATCCGTGGGAGATGGAGTTAACCTGTCATTTTCTGAAGCGGTGTACATGCTACAATATAAAGAGAAACACTTAAAGAAAAAAACACCCGGATGTTGTCCCCAAACAAACCACCTCCCAGAAACGAAAGTGTCCTGTGCTGAGCGCTACCCGCACGGACAGCGCTGGTATGTCAGAGGGCAGGAACACAGGCAGGTGTGCTGGACAATTTTGGGTGGCCTCTTGGCTCGGGGAAATGTCCTCTCATGCAGCAAGTGTTTAAATGAAAGAAAACGCTGCCTTGGATGCCCTCAAACGTATAGAAGTTAGAACAGTTCCGCTTTGTCAACGTGTCAGAAGGGAGACTGGCTGTGGTGTTTAGAAGCAGCAGGGCCCTGCTACTGAATGTTTAAAAATTATATCCTCTTAGCTTCAGGTTTTTCTTATGTTAACAGAAGAGGGGGAGAGAGTAATATCTGTGCTTGTGAGGATAAAAAACAGTTGGGGCCAGTGAAAAAGGAAGGCATATAAATGTAGATTCTGAAAATGTCAAATCTCTACTCAAATGTAAAAAAAAAAAAAACCCCAGCTCTTCACGTTTAAGCCTTTAACATTTCTTTGGAAATTAACAAAGGCCTTCTGAGAGCATTCTAAAGCAAGATTAAGGCAAGAATTATGCAAAAATAAAAACAGGTAAAACTTCCAAAACACGAAAGCTCCTCCTGGAATATGTTTTCAGCTACACCCTGTTCAAAGATGCCCATGCCAGTAGGAATAAAGCCACACTTACGAATCATAGTTGTCCCTGAAGCCTTTCGCAAAGGGGTTATGATCAATCTTCAGTTGGGTAATCTAGATGGGGAGAAAAACAGTGGTTGAGGGCTCAGTCACTGTGTGCGGTGGCGTAGAGTCTTGGGAAGCTGGGGACACTCACGTCAGTGTTTTGGTAGGCAGTCACGGCGATGAACTGTGTTTCTGAGAAGGTGAAGGTCTGAGTCTTGGAGGGTTCATTCAAATCCTCCACGCCATCCTCTGTCACTTCAACGATGTGCAGCCGGGGTTGGTATTTGTGCAGAGACTGTAAGACTATCATCTAGAAATAGCACAGAGAAAGAGTGTCCAATGCTAAAAAAATCTCTTAGAGACACAATAAAAAGTAGATTTTGACAAATTTTGTGTTTTGCAAGGGGGGCTCCCACTTCCTCCCCACTGACAGCTTGCTTTTCTGTTGCCACCTTTAAGATCTTTATCATTGCCACTTTTGAAACTTATAATTAGGTACGTGTGCTTAATAAGCAGTTTTTTTTCCTCTTGGTTGTCTAAGTCCTTGAAAGATTTCAGTGAATTCTGTTCCTGATAGTCAACACACTGCTACTAAAATGCAGTAAGAAAGTGACAATGAGAAAGTCAAAAAGGAAACAAAAAAGAAAAGGTTAGAAATAGGTGAGCAAACAGGTCACAACTGCAAATATTATGAATACCGCGAGAAAACTGTTATTAGAAGAGAAAGACTGCCAGCAGACACCCCTCTTCTTCTGCCACTCTACCTGGGTGTTGTTGTTATTTGCGCCTTTGTTATTGGTGAGTTTTAATTTCCCAAAGGAAATCTCCTGTCTCATCCAGTGGGAACCGGTATTAGGAGACTCTGGGTGAACATACATTTTGTTGCCTAAAATGAAAAAAAAAAAACAGAAGACTCAAACAGATGAGCTATTTTAAATTGGGGCTGCTGGAGGGCTGTGGGCAGCTAATGGGCAGGGTGTAGTAAGAGCTAGACTTGGCACGGTCTCCCAGGGAGGACAGCGGTGGGGCTCCGCCCACACCCTTCCCAGGGCTCCAGTGCCCCCACCGGCCTTATTCATCTCCACAATATCTCAACATTTGAAAACAGAGCCAACAGCGGATGACCTTTGAAGGTCAATTGGGGAAAGCTGGAAGGTGGCTGGATTTCCATGGTTGAACTCAACCTTGATGGAGACTTATTCCCACTGGGAGAGCTTTTGCCGAGGTTTCCGGAAGGGAGGGATGAAAGGGAGGGGGAGGGCGCTAGGTAAAGTCTCCCTATGCCAGAGCTCTGCTCTCCCTCCAACAATCCAGGCCACAGAAGGGGCTCCTACACTATCCCAGGCCCGGACTGGGGTGGGGTGAGGTTTGTGAGAGCTAGATTGCACGGTGAGTCGTCTGGGTCTAGGGCTCGGTTTCTTCCCAGCCCGCACCCCACCCCCACCCCCAACGCGCGCGGCCTCCTCTCTCCTCACCCTGCATGTTATTGTCGGCCTTGCCGCAGGTCACCCACTTGCCACCCTGGAAGCGCCAGTGGTTGGGGTCGGCCAGCACCACCTCTACGAACACGTTGTAGTGGGCGGTGGGATTGAGTCCGTTTATGTTGAAGCTCAAGAATGGAAACATGCGCCTGTGTAGGGGGAACAGAACCGGGGCAAGCGGCTGAAATTGGGAGAGCCGAGGGCGCGGCCGCACAACGCCCAGTCCCCCAGACACCGGGATGGCGTCGGAGCAGTCCCTCTAGAAGTCTGCAATGGCCGGCATACTGATAAAGTGGCCCCAAAGCACGGCAAACATCTTTGAGTTGACTGCTCTTGGAACACCTCCCTTTTTTTCCAGAATAAACTGCCCTAAACGTATTTCCCCCGTTCAAGTGCTCACCCTTTTAAATGTGCATTCATTTTTCTACCAAAATGTAAAGCAAAAACCCTTAACTTGAAATACACAAGTACCAGAAAACTACAACACACCGGGGCTTGCGCTTTGAATGCAAGTCCCCCTGAAGTGCCTCTCTCCCCACGCACACGGGAGCGTTCTCCCGAATAACCACTGCCGGCACCTGGATGTGTATCCTAACTTTCTCACTCGGAAACCAGGCCAGCTCAGCTCCAAGGCTTGGCCTACCCACGGACCCGCTGTCCCAGGTGCGCGCTCCAGCCCTCCTGCCCAACTCCCAGAGGCGCCCCATGGAGATCCCGGCGCCTAAAACTGCAGGAGCCCATCTAGGCGCGCAGGTGGCCGCCAGCTCGTGCCCCCTACCCTGGGCGCAGCTCCTCGCCGGCGTGCAGGGACCAGCAAACCGCCGAGCGGGCGGATGCAGTGAATCCAGCTTTGTGGACCAGTCCAAAAGTCCATTTCCGCCTCCTCCTTGTCAATCCAGGTGAGGGGAGGAGAGGATCCAGCAGCCAGGATGAGCGTACCGAGCAAGCCGGCGGCGCGTGGCCGCAGAGAGACCCTGCACTGGAGATGCGGTGTCTCCCTCGTTGCGCGTGTTAAAACACACGAAGCGGCCTTCCCCGGGACCACAGTCCCCCTTTACCCCGGCACCCAGGGGCCCCTCCCCGCCGCGCTCACCTGCCCTGTTTCGTAATGATCATCTCAGTTTGGTGACGGTGGAATTTGAGCCACAGTGGCCGGTTGCACAGGTAGACGTGGGCGCGGAAGCCGGAAGCGGGAACCCCGAGGCCCCCTAATCCTCCGCAAGATCCCGCCGCCGCCGCCCCAGGGTAGGGCCCATAGATCGGAGCCCCCTGGCCGTACTGATAGGCACCCGGGCCGCTGCCCCCGCCGCCGCCGCCGCCGCCGCCACCCCCGGAGCCACTGCCGGGGCCGGCTCCCGGGCCGAACTGCGCCCTCCCGGGTGGGCACACAGCCACAAGGAATCCGGCGGAAGCAACATATACCCATAATGGTTGACCCCCCCTTGGGAACCGGGTCTACTGATCCGCGTCCACAGGCTGATGCCGCATGCAAAATAAAGAAGCGAGCCAGCGCGAATTGCTCTTCGACCTGTGGCCCGGGGATTCTGATTTCATAAAAGCTCCGAACTCAGGCTGTCCATGGAGTAGCGCGCGGTGGCAGCAGCGGCGGCAGCGGCGGCTGCGGCGGCGGCAGCGGCGGAGGGCAGCTCCTCCTCTCCGCAGGGGGAGCCCTTGCGGCCGTCCGGGGGCCCGGGCTTGGCCACGGCCGCGGCTCTGGCAAAGGCGTCCCCGGCGTCGGCGTCACTGAGCATGGCCGCGGGGGGCCCCGCGCTGGCGGCTGCGGGCTCCCCGTTTCCCACCTCGCACGAGAGACTGCCTGAGAACTTCTTGGGCGCTTTGTCTAAGTCCAGCCTCTGAGGCGAGGGCGCCGCGCCCGGGAGGTGGCCTGCGCTCCCCCCGCCACCCCCGCCGCCACCGCCGCCGCCGCCGCCGCCGCCGCCGCGCGCACTCTCCAGCGGGTAGAAGTGCGCGCTGGGCAGGTTCACGGAGCTCACCAGGAGCTGCTCCCCTAACTGCATGCTTTGCAGAGAGCAGACGGCAGCTGGCTGCTTCCTCTCCTCTGGTGGCCTTATTATAAAGGCAGGATGGGGGGAGCCAGCGCCCCCTTCCGAGGGGAAGGTAACTTCCCCTTCCTCCCGCGCCCGGGCTACCCACCTGCCGACTCGCGGGCCGCTACAGTGCGCACCCGTGCGCCCTCAGTGCAGCGTTCTTTCCGTTTGGAAAGCGCACAGAGTTTGAAGGCAGGAGGTGGAAACTGACCGAGAAGTACTCTCTCCCTCCCCCTCCCCTCTTGCCTCTCAGGAGTCCCACACTCACGCCCGGGATCTTTGTCCTCATCCACCCCCAGCCCGCGCCTTTCTGCCCTATCTCAATTGCCAAACCGTTGGTGTAGCTGACCACTTGGAAACTTGCAGGCTGTCACTGGCTGCTTTATATACATGGGGCCTGGGAGGGGCTTCGCAGCCCCACAGCTCGGGGACCCTCCTTATTGGCTGATGCAGGTGACACTAATTCAATTAGGCATTTACTAATTGGATCAAGTTGCTTGCGACTTTCTTTTCCTTTAGCCCGATTTTTTTTTTTTTTAAGATTCTGTCCTGCTGTGAGCATCAGTTCTGGAGTTTAGGGGAACCGGTTTTGGGGGCAGCACAGCGGAGTCCATCCTTGGCACAGGAATCACCCCCCCGCACTTTGCGCGGGTAATGCTGTGGCAGGAGCAGGTTTTAGAGGCCGGAGGGAGAATGGCTGTCCAAGCTGACTGCTGGCAGGGAGGCGCCGTGCCCGAGGGTGGGGAACTGGGGCGAGCTGGAGGGAGGCCCGAGTGAAAGCTCTAATTCCTGGGAAGCTGTGAGGCTGACGCCCAGGCCCCCAATACACAGGCTCCACTTGGTTGCTGGGTCCCCTGTTTTTTTCTTTTCTTTCTTTTTTCTTTTTTTTTAAACCAGTGGAGAGGACTCTGACTCTCCGCTTTTGGGATATCGGGGACACCACCATCCCCAGCTCTCAGCTTTTGAATCAGAAGCCCAGGTGCGGTGGGAGTACTGGGGACGGAAAAGAGTGGAACCGGACAAGCGCACCGTTACGCTCACATCCACACCGACAAGCCTGCTTTGGCCGGCGAGCACCCACGCTGCTCCGTGTTCCTGAATCCCGCACGCTTCCTATTCCTACCGCACCCCCATCTTCGACTGGGCCTGACACCGGGAAACAAAGGTTCCTTAGCAGCCGCGCGGTTAAGCTTCCCCTTGCCTCTCTGCTGCTGCGCAACACAGAAGGTAGAATAATTAGTGAAATAATCAGTTTGTTATTGAATTAAGCCCCTTCTCCCCAGCTGCCTGTGTTGTCCCTACGTTTCCGCAAACAGGGTTCAGAGCGGTGCCGTCATATTTTATTGTATTATTACAGAAGGGAGCGCACGTTTCGTGGCGGATGGGGAGAAGTCTAAATATTCGCTGCTAATAAGCAATTACGAACGCGGCCAGTAATCGCTCCGGGAGCGCATTTTCCGGCTGAGAGGTCGGGCCTCTGCTTCCCCAACCGGACGCGATCACACGGGAAACTTTTCGCCCGCAACAGATGAGGTGGCCGTGGGACTCGCCGAGCGCGCACTCGCCAGGGTAGAACAGCGCGGAGCTTTCCAACCCAGATTCCAACCCGCAGCGGCGCCAACGTCGGCACGTCTGGGTTAGGGAGCGAGGCGGTCCTTGACGCACGTGGGCGCTCCAGGGCTGTTATCACAGTTTTTTTGTGGTGGTGAGAACCGTGATCGCGGGATAGTTTTCAGGGTCAAGGCACAGCCAGGGGGAGGGGCAGTTTAAGTCGAGTGGGCCGGGGCGAGGGCCTTGGAGGTCCGGGGCTAGTGCAGCTCCGGAGCGGAACCCTCGGAAAGCGGGCACCCCGCGCTCTCACCCTGCGCGCTGCGTGCATTTCGTCCCATCCAGTTTAGTTAGGCTCTGGCGTGACTCTCTCCTCTGATCACGCTCTTGTCCACGCCTATAGGCCCTGCTTTTATTTTATTTGCCCCGGGGAATCCTCGAAGGTCGGCTTTCAAAGAGTATAGCGCTTCAAAAGACTTCACGGTTTTTCCTCGTGGAAGAGAGTCCGTCAAAGGGATGAGAGCGCATGGAAAGGAAGGGACTGTGCGACTTTGGCGGCTTTGGCGGTGTGGCGCTGGGCCAGCAGGCGCTGGTGGTGATTCGTGGGCTCCTCTACATTAGTCTTGACCCCCCAGCTTCAGGATGTTTGCAGGAGAAGTAGGCGTGGGGCCGAGTCTCACGCTCTTTGGAGTTAAGGAAGAGGGTGGCCAGGGGCGCACGGCAGCCGTTCGTTGCGCCTTAACGCAGAAAGAAGCGGGCTTCGGTGTCCCTTCGAAATCCTTTCGAAGCGGCCAGGGAAGCGCTGCGCGTGGCAAAGTGCCACCGTAGGCAACAGGCATCGTTGCGACCCACTCTGGCGCAAATAACGCGGGCCAGCTGTCCTGCGCGCCACATCAGAAAGGGTTGATTTTACCCAGCCCCAGAGCTAGCACGTGGGCTCCTTACGACTGCCACCTCATTATTAAATGTATACACGGTATGTATCTTCAGGATCTGTACGGATTCTCGGGGCAAGGAATAGCGCTTTGTACTTTGCCACCTCCCCAATAAATCTATTATTTGACCCAAGTTTTAACACATTTTGGGAGACGCAGTAGCGAAGTCGAATTCAAAGAGTAGAAACCCAGATTCAACAAAACCATAATGGGTTCCAGGATGCTTTGGAATATGTAAAATAAATACTTATTCTACTGCCTATGTGACATTTATAAGTATATATGTTTATCAAAAATTCCTCTTTAAAATAATGAAAAGCACTGTTTCAACTAAAGATTTTTCCCCCTGGCTGCAGAGACAAGTTAATCACATTTATGATTCTGTGTTAATTAACTAAGTACATCATTATTACTACATATGGAATTTACTAATCTAAAGTGCCTAGAGAGTTACAGATGAGCAAATCTGTGATTTCCTACTTGGAATGAGCTTTCCTTCTAATGGCTCAATATTATTTTATAACTAGGAAAAGAGACATACAAAATATTTTCACGTGTCTCGGCTGCATTTTAAAGTCCAAGCTCTTCTCTCCAGAAATAGCAGCAGAAAGTCAGAGCTAAAGCAATGGCTTTGGGAAATCTGTCAGGCAGCACCCTCCTTGGATTGGGAGGCAAGTACCAGAGCCTTCCAGCCTGTTTGCTGTTTGATTTCAATTACACCCCAAGCTTCATGAAATCTCAATGAGACATTTATTGAAAGGTGCCTGGTTTTATGTGGCTCAACTGACAGTGTATTGGAATAAACTGAACAAAAACATCAACATTGCAAAGGAAACATGGAGACCCCTTGGAACCCCAGACCAAAATGCTGGCTGGATTAACTCAAATCTGGCCCCTTTCAGCCTGCAGTGGAGCAAGTAGGAGCCTTTGGAGGGGACTAGAAGCAAGTCAAGGCCACGCCCACGTGTGAGCACATTAAAGATCCCAGGCTTGATTGTCCCAAGTCACGATGCCAACTTCACGCCACTGTCTCATTCTGATAACACAGTTATTGTCAACATGATCAGGTGATCTCTTGTTTTGTCCCTCCGCCCCCCCCCACCCCGCCCCAAAGGTGACCACTATCCATGCATGGATCTTTGAAAGTAAAACTGAGAAGCACTACACTATATAAGGACCAGGACACACCAAATCCATATACACACTTATGAATAAACTACAGAGGTACGTTACAGATGAGTGCAATGATACAGGGTTTACCTCCCACCAACCCCTACCCCACCACCCGCACAACCAAGGGGGCCCATATAAATGTCCCAATAAATTCTATTATTTTCAACCCCACTAAAAACGTGTTATCCAAACAGTGTCCGTGTTATTCAAACACTTTGTAAATTCTGAGCAGACTTGCTGCCGGTTCTCCTTTTAACCCTAGGAAAACATTCCAACATTAACCGGTCACCAGCGCTTCGCCTGGACTCTGGGAAAATGTCAATGGGTTTTTTGTGGCAAGTTGGTTCTTTTACTATTTATCTATGGCCCTTTCTTTGTTGATGTTACATTTTATTTCACCATCTCAGGTTCACTCTTTGGCCCTTTGTTCTCTGATGGCCAGATCTGCCACCTCGGCTGTGCTTTCCAGAGAGGCAGGCAGCTTTCATCACCTAAGTTAGGTTATTCATGTTTCCCTTCTGTTTTTAAAGAAACTGGCCTGTAAGACAAAACATTTTGCCAAAGACAAGTAGTGCCGATTCTGCTGACAACAGCAAGATACTCCCACCAACACAGTTGTACTTTTATAAGAATGTATAGAATGCATGTTTCACTCTGATGATGGAATGGACTGGTTTTTTTTAAATCACCAGATTCACAAATGTGTGAGGCAAAGGGTTATATTAAACTCAGTGCATGTTTTTCACGCAAAAGTAACCAGTTGAAATGGTCGGTCCATATATTTAAATTGCTAAGAGTAATTGTTGTTCACTGTTAAAATAGGAGGAGGTGAGGGAATTCTGGATTGTAAGTTCATAAACATACTCAAAGTTGTTTTTTACAAAAACAAAACAAAACAAAAAACAGGTGTCTATCTTTTCCTAAACATGAACTCAGGAATCTCTGGCAGTAGACCATAATCCCAACTTACTTTTTTTTTATGAAAGTATTTTTAAACTGCAAATGGCATCTTTCACCTTCTTCTTCATATTTTTGAGGAAAAATACACACACACACACATAAATAGCAAGAACAGTCACATGACACAAAGAAAGCTAAATGTTCTCCAAAAAGATTTTTATGGACTGTTTGGCTAATTATCACTACATTAAATTATGAAAGTTCCAAAGGATCCATCTGTCTTGCTTATTTTTCTACCTTGAACAGCCTCATATTTTGGTACTCATCTGTTAAATGAAACAAAGGAGTTACTAACTGTGCATACTAGAATACCTAATATAACTCAAGGACAGTGTCAAGCTTTAAGCTTTACACCAGGAAGGCTAAAATGAAAATGCTTTCCCTTAAAAGAAAAAGAAAACACCTCATTTCATCTTCATATTATGTATAATTATATATTATATATGAATTATTATATATTATATATTACATATATATTGCATGGCTTATTCTTTTTTTCCCTTCATATGTGTCAATAGCAACATTTCCCATAGCAATGTAGAAAAAGGAAAAGCTAGTGCCAGAATCCCAGTATGTTAAGTGGGAGTAACCACCATGGAACCAACAGGAAACATCACCCTGAACTTAACTGCACATCACTGAGAGTTGACAGAACCTATGAAAAATCAATTTTCCCACAGAGAACACCCCTATCATAGAGGTGTAGCAGGATGCCTGCACAACAGGTGGGCAGAATCCAATTGGGTTGAACCAAGGCTTGAGTATGGTAGAGGCAGCTGGAAGGTTCTACGTGGGAAAGAGAGAAGCCTAGGTTGTGGGAATTACTCGGCAGAAATAACTAAGCCCCCGAGACAAGCAAGGAAGAGAGATTGAGAAGGAAGGAGGCAGGAAGGCT